TTGATGTTGTAAGTTGTTTGGAATGAAGTAAAGAGTCGTGTGAATAAAATCGATGGCAAACATGAAACGGCAGCCACTGCATCTATTAGCCACCATTAGATATTCCAGCAGCCAGCATTTTTTCTTACAACAAAAGACGATCTGACTGAAGCAACATAAAACCTGCACAAAAGCAATTAAGTCTCGGTAGCAAATGCGGTAGACACATCAATGCAAATTACTTAATTCTGTTAAAATTTTCTAAACTCTTCATTTAAATTAACATCAACGAGAGATGCTTATGAGTCTGCCTGGTGCTGCAGAGCGTTAAGCACATTTAAATAAACAGAATATGTGAAAAACCACGTATAAAATTCATTAACGACTGAATTATTCAATACCAAAGAAAAGACTCACTCACTTTCGATAAAATGTGATAAATAGATGGAAATGTATCAGTTAGATTGCTGTATTGAAAGCACCATCCCAGGGCACTAATTTCATTTCGATGATTTTACAACATACTGAGTGAGACTCTGTCACGTGAAATACTATTTTCAAATTTATTAAACGTTTAATATCTGAACCGTTTGTGCTGTGCCGTGCCGAATATGTACGTCAATTCTTTCTGAATGCAATTGAAAAACAACGAATTTTTCGTGTTGTGAAAATGCAATCAATCAGCCAATAAATGACTTAACCACTTATTTTATTTAATAGACAAACCAATTTCATAGTAAACAAAATATACACGTCGCGTAACCACAATTCAATTGGATAAATCCAATAACAGCCACCGGCACCGAAAAAAAATACAGTCGCGCGATTGAGCGCCTCTGCTGCAGCCGTCGTCGTTCACACTTCTGCCCGCAAATTGTGCTGTTCAGCACGTGTAAATTGATATTTTGTGTCGCGACACATGAACAGAGTTTGCATATGTCGAGTATAACAGTGGAACTGGCGTCGCATCGAACGTAGATGCGAATTGAATATATCGCGATCGAACATGAAAAATTGTTCATAATTTAGCGATAATAGCAGGCAATCATAATCACATGCGAATGCAGCGGTCGTTTGTTTTTTTCTCACTTCTCGCTCGGTGCTGTGCTTCATATTTCGTAAGGTGCTCGTTTCGAAGGCGTGTTAATTCTTCTTAACTCATTTTCTCAATGATCGAAATACGTATAAATCATAAACGCTTTGTGCACAACTTTGGTTAACTCTTGCTCTGAGGGCACAAAAACGTGATGCTGACTCTTTTTCTTTTCTTTCTCATTCGTTCCAATCATCGAGACGATATTTTGTAATTTTCCGAATGTCAATTCAATGCTTTTTCATTTATATCGGTTCTGATTGGATTTTTTTGCTTCTCTGAATAATGCTAATGGGAAACTTCATTAGATCATATTCAATCGGTGAAGCTATTCATATGCACACGAAAAAAAAACAATATTTGATTTATGTGTCTGTCCGCATTAATGAAAAAATGAGAAAGAAGCACAAAAAAAAACAGATATTGGAAGGTAAAACTACGATGTGTAATTAAATGCAAAAGTGACAATAGAATTTGAGAGATCAAGAGAGCGAGAGTGAGAGAGAAAAACCATTGTACTTGATCTAGTTTTGGTCGTTATCTGTCACTTATTAGTATGCACAGTGAATTTATGTTCGCGTGATACCTTCATTTCGCATGGATTTCCCTTTTGTTTTCACCGATACAAAAGCGCCCATATTTCTAGGTTACAAATGCAAATGCAAACAGCAACATTGCCATTTTTTGCTTTGCAGCGGCAACAAAAGAAAATTTATTAGCTCAAGGTTTAGTAAGTTGGCTGATTTTTGAGCAAGATGTGGATTTTCTATAATTTGATGGTTGAATTTGAATTGACAGAACAATTGAACGGAGCAATCAATCTGGAACCCCCTTTTATTGCATGAGAATGTGTGTGTGTGTGCGCGCGCGCGCGTACGAGCACTTTCATTTGCTACCTTACGATTGGTGTATGTGTATTTGTGACGGTTTACTTTCGCATTCGGTTTGGCGATTCGAAAATCGATTATCGTATTTACATACCTCTCGTTCCGATGACGACGAAAAGGAAAATTGCCAATTATAGACAAACTGGCAATAAAATCCGATGCGTAAACAACGAACCGAAGAAGAAAAAAAGGTCCACATGAAATGTGGCATGCACAGCAAAGTATCCAGTGCATAGACCAAGACGATTGCAATTTTACTCCAACCGACTGTGAAATGATAATAGCGTGTGTGCGCGCTACGATCACACAAAGATCGCATCACACACAAACACAAGGCAAAAAAAAAACAATTTATGTAAACATTGCATTATGGGCTTTGTTTAACTCTTCTTAGTCGACCTCATGGATTTCTTTCTCGTCGTCATTTGATCCGAAGATGTTAAAATACATAGGAGGCAATTTTAAAATTGAACGTGTGACGTGTGCGCAAACAGATAACCGAAAAATAAAACACACCAAAATGAAATGAAACGAAACGAACCAAACTTAACTGAAATGGGAATGAACAAAGTTATCGTCGAATGAAATTCAAGAACAATGGACTGGCATTGTGACAGTACATGTATGTGTGTATGTTTGAATGGAGGACATGCAAATGAACCGTACAAATATGTGTGCATACACATCGAATTCTTTCTTCGGCTTTCGCCTTAATTTTGTAACGTTACAACGCAATAAAATAAAACTATCATCATGTTGCTCATGCAAAGAAAGTTTCTGACCGTTTTGTGGTGTCTTTTTTTTTTTCTTAAGGTTCGTCACAATTTATACCACTTCATTCCATTGCGATTCCAAATTCACTTTCCATCACTTTTCACTCGATCGCTCGGTGTTTGGGATCGGAGTCATGCTTTATGGCTACACTCCCAGTTTCAGATGACTTTTATAGAAAGAATTGTAAATAATCACAAATGAAAAGAGAGACACAGAGAGAGAGATACAAAAATAAAACGAAATAATTTGCTGCGGCAATTCTTCCGTTGTGTAAATTCGATTTTTATTTTCGTAACTTCTGGTCAAAATGAAATTTCTTCATTTCTTGTCTAAATCGAATGACGACGATTCAAACGATATCATTAGCGAAGAACACACGATGCGATTGCATTTTCCATTTTTTCCGAATCTGGCTTCAAAATGGAATTCTTAAAGTGCTTAATTTTCTCAAACGCAATCGGTTTTTCGAAGAGAGGCTGCAGCTACGCAGCTGTGGCGAGCTCATCTCCGTTGGCGGTGGCAGCGCGGCATTAACACAATTTTCTACTCATGCATTTTATCATTGTGAAATTGACGAAGCGTTTCATTCCACCGATCGCCCGTTTTACGGTTTTATTTCATTTTATTCGATGCCGCTCGATGCCACACGGTAAACTAGCTTTAATGATAATTTGTGACGATGAATTTATTGTTTAAATGGCCCATTCTTTGGGATTATGTATGTAAAGGAACTCATCCGATAATCGTAAAATATAGAAATATTGCAAAAAACAAACACACACACACATTCTTTTCCATCAATTCAATCCGCCTTCAGAGTGGAACATAAAATGTTTTTTATTATTATATTCTCACGTGTGTATGTGCTTGTG